AAAAAAAAAAAAAAAAGCAAAAAACCAGAGTTAACAGATGATTGCTAGTACAAATCACAAGCTACTCAGCTACCACAGTTTTAGCCTGTTGCACTTGCTTCCTGCATATTTCCTTCACTCTCTGGTTACCTCAGTGAACTGGCTACAGAAGTACAGACTTATGTTTTGAAAGCTGGTCAAGGCCTCTGACTTTTTTGCATACTATCACAATCACAAAAAACAGGCTAAGGCATTCTGGCCTGCGGCACTTAGCCTAACCCTAGAATTTTAGGTGATATTTTTCTAACCTAAACCTAACACTACATCTCTAATTAAAATCTCACACCTCTGCAGTGGTAGTACCTCATACTCTTGCATTGGTTTCTCAAAACATTGTTCACTTGCTCTGTATAAAGCATTCCTTCCCCCTCTCTTATCTAGTTCAAACTTTTCCTTCCTTAGCCTTAAGCTATTGCTCCTTCTTCCATCTGAGACTAAGCAATTCCCTCTTTTCATTTATCTTACAGTCTTGATGATAATAATAGACTATGAGCCAGTCACCTCTATTCACTCTAAAAATTGAGTTCACTCTGCTTTTTCCTGCCCTCCTTTGTATTCTCTAGTTTTCTTAAAGCCTCCACAAGCAGGAGACCTAGCTAACAAAGTATTCTAGGTAAGCAGGCCTACCTAAAGGACATTATTTAAAAATAAAAACACCCTATCACTCTAAAACAACTATGATGTAAAAATATGAATTTTTACTTTGAGTTATGTTGACCCATGAACAAGATGCCTTATAGGGAAGAGAAATCCCATGCAATCAGTTGTTACTGAAACGGAAACTTAGTGAGATAAAATGATTCCCAGATTTGATCTGTTACTAAAATGCAGCTTGTCTCCTACCTCAGTAATTCATGAACAGCCGTGAAGCCTTGTGGCCTTTTTTCTTGTGTGTTCCTGGCAACCACACGGCTGGTCAGAAAGTTTTCCTTGAGCATGCTGACTTACTGTAATGTCAAGGAGAGGTTGAAGGAATAATTTGGTCTCCTCCCAAATCACTGATTTGTCTGACATTTGGCAACTGCAGTGCTGTGGTGATAACAATTTCATGATGCTGGAGAAAATGGCGTAAGTGTATGCTTTCCATCTTTCTGAATTACGCTGCATGGTATGAATAATACAGTTTGCCATAAAAACTTGTCTTTGGACAACAAGGAAGTCTTGTGTAGATCTAAGAGAAAGTTTTCAAGTACTTGTATTGAATACTTACACAGTACTGCAATAGGTCAAAATGCATTTAAGTTAAAATGTGGCTTCTGAGTCACTCTCACAGTTTATACGAACCGCAAACCATTTCTGGCAATTCAGAAAGGACCATTTCAAGCAGTCACTACTGAGAGTCAATGAAATGGAACAAGCTCTTCAAAGTTTTGCCTTCCTTATGTTATTCTTCCCTTCTCAGACCTGTTTTATCTCTGCAAGATTTGCTCTATGCATCCTTTCTCTTGGGGTCTGGAATATATCTCTCTCTCTCCTGTGATTCAGTTTCTTTCTTAGAGTTTTCAAAAAGTCCTCGTTGGGTAATTAGATGATTCTGGGACAATGCATTGTGCCAGTTTTCAAGATATGTCGCTATTAGAATCATAAGGGACTGTTCTGACCTCGTGCATGAGACGAATACTGAATTTCACACACTTTTATATCTAGCTTCTGCCTGGACTTTTTGTCTGAGGTGACTATTTACTTAAATACATATTCTATTATATCTTGTACTATTTAGGTGAGGTGTCAGAAAAATCTGTTTTAACATAAGACCTATTTATTTAAACATCTTCTGCATGCAGCTCAAATGTGTATTGCTTTCAGATGGAGCAAGAGGAAGGCAAACATATCTGTATCCCAAATGATTCTACTCTCTATGGTACAGATTAAGATGGAGTGGCTTGATTATTCCCTGCGCCTATTGCTGGCTTTTTTCTTCACTATGAGAGCAGCTGTTCAAAAATTATTCTAGTGCAAGCTAGAGGAAGATCGGTATACTAATCAACTGCAGTCAGTTGGTTTTTTTAAAGTGGGTGTTCAAATGTGTGGAATGAGTTGGCCACTTGGTGGCAAAGCTGAATGGCAAATAAGATGCAGTTCTGCTTTTTCAGTAATGCTTTTATTTGAGTGGCATTTATGGGAGATTTGAGGTAAACTGTCAGCTTTATAAAGGCATGCTGACTTGTGCCTTCAGAGCTGTACTTCAGTAATACCACTGACTTCCAACAGGCATTATGCTACTTGTGGTGCTAGTACAAATTGTTTGGTTTGTTGAAGACAAGAGGTAGTGAATCAAACAGCTTTGCTTTCACTATGGAGTTATATTTGGTAAGCTAGGGCAATGTGAGTGAATGTCCCTTCTAGAAAGAAGAAAAGGTGCCTGGCTATCACTGGAAGTATTTCAGCATGGTAACCACTAGGTATGTCTGGAAGCTGATGTCATTTCCTCTCATCATAGCATCAGAATAAAATTATAGATTGCTCTGAAAGTAATGCCTCTTATTTATTTCTATGAATCTACAACAGCTACAAAGGACACAATAATACTATTTCATAGAGCAAGTTCTCAGCTACAAAATACTATTTTTCAGCCTAGTCACAACCATTAGTTATGTATTTTCACCAACCATGAACAAGAACAGCATGCCATTCTCATAAAATGGTGCAGATACCAGTGGATTGGTCAGATTGGTGCAGATTGTCATTGCTGCTGCTGAAATGCATCATCTCACTGTGCTCATACCCACTGTTTGGTCTCCACTGATGTTCAGAAAGTATCAGTGACTGTCAGTGGGTGCCATTTCTTCCACATGGAAGAACTCTAATGTCTGGTGTCTGACATAGAAGTGCATATGAAGCACTTTGTCAGATTGCCCCTCTGCTGCATGGCAACAAAATGTAATATACTGGTGGGAAGGTTCAACCACTGCTGCCAATATCACCAACATCTGCCTCCAACATCATAAAATAAGGGGCATTATTTTCTGAGCAGCCTTCGTAGTATGCTTTTTCCTCACTCAGGGTTTTGTGTCAGCCCATCACTTCACATCCCTAGGGATGTGAAGGTGCATTAGTTGTGGGCTCAAGAGAGAAGGAAGCAACTGAAAGAGCATCTTTTCTGCAGTTCTGCCTCAGGTGAGGTGATAAAGTGACCTGGCTATACCATGGCTATACCACGTGTTTTGCAGTATATGGGACAACTGAATTTTTCTCTGTTGTTTTACACTGTCAAACATCAAAACTGCACTTATGGCTGAGCTTCACTTTATTCTATAAGACTGAATTCATTATTCTATCCTTGTTCGAGAGGGTGCACTTCATGCTAATTCTAAGGCATTGGGAGCAATGTGTACTTACTGCCCTCCCTACCCCATAGTCTCCCTGTTCTGAACTGATAGATATGGATGATGTTGAAGCAAATGAGCTTTTTTCCATCTAAGAACTAGACCCTTTAAATTGGTTGTACAATGACAGACATTTGCAGAACACGTGGCATGAAGTAGTAATTCCTACTACTGGGGGGCTCAGCAGTAAATCCAGAGTAGTGATCCCGGATTTCTTTGTGGTACGTACTCTAATGTATCCCAGCTCTCTGTGTTCATGCACACATTTAACTCATGGACAGTGAATTAATGGAACTGTATTTACTAAATCTGTTTTGAAGACTTAGGTAGTTCATTAATAAATAACCCAAATGGCTATAATTCTGATTCCCTTAAGTTTAGCGGTAGCTTCTGATGAATGTTTTTAAAGTGCTATTTCATTCAAAATTTCTAACCTGGACTATTTTGGTCATGTAATAAACTTAAAAATGTCAAACCAAGCTCTTGGGTAAGCTATTATTTTTTATACATTTTTGGTGGTCAAGCAGCTTTTCGTGCTCAAACTGGGTACTGAATCCCTCTTGGCTCTTGGTCTTCTTCTGACCTGGGTAGGGCAAGAGCAATGCTTTGCTGTGAACTTTGGCTTTGGAACAGTGTTTCCACGATTTCTGATTGACTGTGGGGAGTAGCACAGCTCAGTACAGCTCTTAAACATTTCTCACTAATTAGCCATAATGCAAAGCAGCAGCTGTATAGATGTATGGTGTGTTTGTGTAGGTATCATTTTATGTACGTGCATAGATGCCTGCTAGAGAAGGGGCTGGGTTCGTTGGCAGATAGAACAGTCCGAGGGTGTTTCATTCAGAGGGCACTTGGTTGGGTTGGTTGCTCGTTCTCTCGTTTTTAGCCTCGGGGAGCTCTTGCAATCTGCACAGCTCTGTACTGGTAGAACTGAGGAGAGAGGCTGAAATTAAGAGGAAAGCAACAAATACTGTTTTTGTTGTTGTTGTTAGGGAGGGATGGGGGGAATTCTTGGTTTGTTTTCTAAATCGGCGATTTATTATGGAGTAGCGGCAGAGCGTGAGCTGCCTTACGCACACACGGCTACGGCCCCGGGGCGCTGCGGGCACAGGAGCGGGGCGGAAGCTGCCTCAGCCCGCAGGGCCGCCGCCGCCCGCCGCCTCACAAAATGGCTCCTCCGGCGCGGGGGCGGCCCCGCGGAGCTCTCCATGGTGGCCGGCGGCTCCGCGCCGTTCCGCCGCCCCTCGACTGGGGCCCGACGCCCGCCCAGCCCGGGGGGCGGGGAAGCGGCTGGGCGCTCCGGCTCCCCCGCCGTCGCCTCCTCCCCGGGCCGGGGCAGCCCGCGACGCCGGGCCGCAGCCCCCGCCCCTTCCTCTCCGCGCCGCCCCGCGGGGAGCGGAGTTTCGCCACGCTCCCTTACGGCCGCGCCGCCGGCTCGGCGGAGGCAGGAGTTTCGCCACGCTCCCGCAGTCCCCTCGTGGGGCGGCGGCGCGGTGCATGCCGGGCCCGAGGCGGACCGTCCCTTCGCTGCGCGAGGAGCTGGGAGCCGCGCCTGCCGCCATGTTCCGCCGGGCCGCCGCCGCCCGGGGCCTCTAGCCGCCCGCGCCTCGCCCGCCGCCCCGCGCCCCTCGCCCGCCAGCCCGCGGGCGGAGGAGGCGGACGAAGGCGCCGCCGCGCCCAGCAGCCGCCGCCGGAGCCCGGCGGCGCTCAGCGATGTCTGCCAAGGAGGGGAGCAAGGTGCTGCTGCTGCCGCCCCACGCCACTAGCGAGCGCGCCGTCAAGGGTGAGCGAGCCGCGGCCCCGCGCCGCCCTGGGGGAGGGGGAGGCCGGCCCGGCGGAGCGCGGGGGCGGCCGGCCGGACCTTCGGCGGGAGGCCGCGGTGGGCGCAGGGACGGGTGGCCCTGGGCGGGGACCGCGCCCGCAGGTGGGGAACGGGGGCGCGGGGCGAGGAAAAGCGGGGCCGGCTTCGTTCCGCGGGGAGACGCTGCGCTGGGCGCCGCCGAGGGAAGGCGCCGCTCGGCTCGGGCGGCCGCTGCGGGGCCGGCCCTGCGTGGGGCTGAGCCGGGCGGGCGGCCTTATGTAGCCCGAGGCCTGTGCCGCGGCCCCGCGTGCGGCCCGGCCGCGCCTGGCACCGGCCCGCGGGGGCTGATCGCCCGGGGCGTCGGGCCCTTGGAACTCTGCGGGATTCTCTGCCGTCTGCGCATTGATGCCGGGTCGTGATGCCGGGAAAGAAGAGCCTCAGCCTTTGCGATTGGCGGTCGGTTCTGATGGACAGACTCACCTTGATCTGTTTTTTTCCTGGGTGTCAGGGTTTTACTGGAAGCCTCTACAAGCCAAACGTTATGCTGCTGGGAGGAAAAGGTAAAACGTTGCCGTGCAAATAGCTCTGTGTGACACTGAGGCTGTCTGGCGACCACAGTGCTATGAAAAGCAGCTCACTGGCCATGTCATCTTAGTATTTCAAAGAGAGTAACCCTTTGCAACTGTAGCACTGTACTCGTTAGATTTAACCTTTCTGTTTGGATGATGCTATCAGCAATGAGCATTTCAGCTCTTTGCTTGGATGACAGGTAGCACCCAGAGGTCTGACATGGTGCTGCATTTGGCTGTGGCACTGTGAGCGTGGCTTTGTGGCAGCAGACTGGGGCAGCTGGAAATCTGTGGCTGTGTACAAAGCAGTGTGGTTGCAAGGCTGACATTCCTAAGAGCACACAATCCAACTGATTTCAGAGGAGAGATCCTGATCATTTAGCTGAACAGTTTGTCTTGGGAAATGAAGAGAATGCTTTTCTCTTCAGCAGGTGCTAATTAAACCCTTGGAAGCCTGTAACATTTTGGAAATTTGCACATTTCCCAGTTTGCTGGAAACCTTTGCTCATAGTGAGTTGCTACCCATTGGGGATTGCTTAACCTGTTGATTTGTCTGAATGCATTGTGAAAGTAGAAAATGATAGAACTGGTAAATTAGGGACTTGTGTTAATTAGGGCTGTTGGTGCTAAACTTATAGTGGTGTTTAGGCTTGCTGAGGTCTTATACCTCTACTGCAGTCTGTTGTAACAAATATAATTTCTTCAGGTGATGTGGAAGAGCCTGCTGATTTCCAAAGACTCTGTAACTCTGCTCTGTTAGGTGATGCCTGTGAATCTGGTTGCTAGAAGGGGTAGTTAGGGCTTGCTTCATTCTAGCAGGATCACAGCCTGAGGCTACGGTGTTTCTCTGAACCTGGCTGTGTGGGATAGAGGCGTGTTAAAGGTAAGTAGGCCTTGGTACCTTCATCTGGAAGAATCACAGCCAGTTTAGCGTTTATACAGTGGCATTTTTCTCTTCTTTCTGTCAGCCTGCCTGCTCTATACCTGCTGTGCTGAACTGTGGGGTTCTGGAGGGAGCCGGGCAGCTGTGCTGAGCTGTGTTCTTAGCATGAAGGGCAGATGGCTCCACCACCCCCTGCCCCAGTGAGGTGCTTGTGCAGCTTGAAATATTTCAACAGCAACCCCAGTGTAGCAGGATTGCAGGTTGTGTCAGGGCATAGCGGGTGCATCTGTGCAACAGAAATACATTCGTTGAAAGCATGCTAAAATGTGACATCTCTGTTCACAAATAGACGTGCTACCTCTCACATACAGGGAGCGCTCCTCATATTCTTACCTATGACACAATGAACAAATTACAGGGATGGTGATGCTAGTTGAAAATAGGTGGGCCCTCTGCTTTTGTCAAGACAGCACTGTGTGCCAGGGGACAGAAAATATTAATTTATTCTGATGAAAATGCATGGACCGGGTGTGCTTGTGAAACTGTTGAATGGTTAAATAATGTCCTGTACTTTCTAATTCTTGAACGCTGAAGAATCATTGTGGAATTGAGAGCTTTTCAACAAAGTATCAAGTCTGTCACTGATAGGTATTAATGAATTTATTTACTGGGATACGTTTCTAGGAATCTGCTTAAAGCAATCATTTTTCATCAAAATTCAAAAGCACTATTGGTTGGAAAACCATATAAGGGGTTCTTGGATGCTGTCAGCTCCATTCCCAGAAGAAATCTGTTTGAGGCATCCAGGTTTTCTGCCTCTCATTGCTGAGGCATTTCTTTTATAACATCTCAGTTCCCTGAGAACAGCCACAGAACTTGGAAGAAAAATGCAGTGCTGTTACCTGGTGTCTCTGTGCAGTAGAGCATTGGGCTGTATTTTTCTCATGCTCTCTATGCAGCACATCTTCTGAGGGAGAAAGATGAATTCAGGACTTAATGTTTGCTGGTGTTTGTATTGCTTTATCTGTTGCTCTTATTTCAGCTTTTTCTTTCTCTGTTGGTGGAAAAGGGGAAATGTAACAGAAACTATCAAAAATAAGATGCTGTGGAAAATTAAATTATTTGTTACTAATACATGTTGGCAAAAGTGGGCAAGAGATACTCAAGAAAAAAACATTAGTTACTAATGGTATGATAATGTAATAATCAAATTATTAGTTTAATTACATACAAATAATTTACTGATCAATAAAGCTAGGGTAATAATTAGGATATGGCCTCCTTTATATTTTGACCTGTATATTTGTCTACAAGTCAGAAATGCCCGTGTCTAAAAAATACCTGACATGCTATCAGGTAGCATGTTCATATTGGACATAAACATAACACAGTCGTGGCTTCAGATGCGCCGTGTGCCGTCTGGCTGCATTGGCCTTGCATTCCTTCCAAATAAGAATTATGAATCGGTGTCTGCATGTATTATAGTATATTAAAAGCTCTTTTTTTTTTTTTTTTTCACTTCTTAGTTAAGTTGTATCTAAGTAATTTGTACTTGCAGCTTCTCCTTTAAGTGAATGGTTAGCTGCAGGGTTGAAATGCATAGATTCACTGGTGGCAGGTGAGAGGATGAGGGAAAATGGCCTCAAGTTGTGCCAAGGTATGCTTAGGTTGGATATCAGGAAACACTTCTTTAAGAAAGGGTTGTTAAGCACTGGAATAGGCTCCCCAGGGAGGTGGTTGAGTCACCATCCCTGGATGCGTTTAAAAAACATTTGGATGTGGTGCTCAGGGATGTGATTTAGCAGAGGGTTGTCAGAGTTAGGGTAGTATGGTTAGGTTGTGGTTGGAGTTAGGGTAGTATGGTTAGGTTGTGGTTGGACCTGATGACCTTTAAGATCTTTTCCAACCTCAGTGATTGTATGATTCTGTTTGTGGCGTTTGGTTTCCCCAGGCCATCGGATGGCCAGGCTTCTGTTGCTGCATATGACAGAGATGAGAAAAGGTACCTGTCTTCTTGATTTGATGCTTTCTGAGATGCCCTCTTTGTCTCTGAAGAACACTTAGTGTGTTGTGCTGTCTTGTGGAAGATAGCATTCGAACTGCTGTTTGTATTTAATGATTCTGTCTGGTTCTTCTGATTTTACTTTATTTTTGCAATGAGTGACTGCCTTCGGTCAACATCTGTGAAGATGATGTCTGCTTTCCTGGTGATGGGAGACTTCAGGATATCTTTATTTTGAATAAAAGCTATGATGAAGTGTGATAGGTGGATGGTCATTTTTAGCTATTAAATGATGTTTATTGAAGCAACTCAACTACTCCACAAATCCCAACGAGAAGTAGCTCATGGTTTAGCCTAGAGCGGGATCCTAACTTAAGATACTAATAGCTATTTTTTGGCAGTGATGTCCATGTGTGAGAAAAAGAATTGTAACATTTGACTTCAAAATAGGGAGTCTGATGTAAATTAAAAAGGAACAAAACACACAGATGAAAGGATAGGTGTATACAGGCAGCTTGACAACTGTTTTGAAAATACAGTTAGACCCTTAGAATGCCTTTACACTGCTGCCTAGCCTGATTCAAAACTGATTGAGGAGAGGAGGAGGCTATTAAAGAGAATATTAAAACTTTGGGGGAAAAAAATCATAGTTATGATGTGGGAGAGAAAGTGGAATGGAACAGAATTCTGATGAGTTAATGTTTGAAAAGCCGTATGTGTTCTTTCTCATTTTTCGAGGGAGTAATGAGAATGCATGAACTGTAAACAACAAGAACGAGCAGCAAACAAAGAAACCCACGTGTGCCTTAGTTTCACCCTTAGTAGGGTGAGGCTTGGGATGATAAGGCCAGAGCAGAAATCTGGCAACTACTTTCATCCACGTTTGTGATGGAAGAGCCAAAGAACTCTTTCCCAGGTGTCAATTTTTTATTTTTTTTTTCTGAATGGGACTGAAGAAGTCTCACAGAAATGTAAATGGTTTCAGGACATACCAACAGTATGAATTTTAAAAAGTGTATATCCTGGGACCAGAAGATATTTTTCTAGTGGTATTCTTTTTCTAATGGAATTTTTTTTTTCTTTGGGGTTTTCAGGTGCAAAATCGCTGATCTATTTTCTGTAGCCTGTGGCATAACTCATCTTCTAAGTCTGAGAAGTGGAGCACAGCAGCGTTTTTACCAAGCTCCAGATTGAACTGAAGAGCTGTAGATCAGTGAGTTTAATTTAAGCAGACTCACAGCACTTGTGAAAGAGTAGACTGACTCAGTCCTTGGAGAAATATGGTATTAAATAGGAATCAGTCCAGTTTTCATAGAAGGAAATCCAGAGGAATTTTTAGCATTTATTTGGAGGAGCCAGTAATGTGATTGATCCAGGCAACGCCATTGATCACGTTCCCTCATCAGAGTCTTCAAAGTAAACAAAGGAGGAAATGTCCTCTTTCGGATCAAAATTAGTTAGGAAAGAAAATACATTGATGGGTAATAAACCTCTATACTTGAAGGAGATCAACATCTGTCTATATATC